AGGCAGTTGCAGTGACTTCCTCTGAAAGAGGCCCCCACAGGAAACAGCGGTGGTGTTGAGCCTCGGGGGCCCAGGACAGGTGAGGGGGCTGGAAAGGAGCCAGCCCTTCTCCCAAAGCCCACAGGAGATTCCAGCCTGCCCTTTCCCCAAAAAGAGCTCTGTAACCCCCCCCCAGCCCAGGTCACACTCCCCGGGGATCTTCAGAGAGCCCCCCATCCCACTAACAGACAAAGCCCCCTCCCTCCTCCCAGGCACCACCACCACGCACAGAAAGGGGAACTGGACCGATGGAAGGAGAGGAAAAGGGGCCAGGCCAGGGGTGCGGACGGGGCTGCCTACCAGGCGCAGGCTCCCCGGGATCTGCGGGCAGGACCCGGGGTGTCCACAGCAGCAGCAGGAGCAGCGGGAACCGGAGCGAAAGACTCCATCCTGTAGGGAGAGACAGATGAAGGGCTGAGCGTGGCATTCAACGCTCCACAGGAGACAAAGTGGATTCTTGGGACACCCGGGTAAGACTCACGGCTCATAGTGCAGCGGCGGCTGATGGGAGCAGGGAAGCCAGCTACAAACTGCCGGAACCTTGGTGTGTCTCTAATTCCGCAGGAGCTCCAGGCTGCCTGGCCCGCCCCCTCCCCACCCATTCCCTTGGCTCCACCTCTCCAGCCAGCTGTCACCTCGGCCACCACCCACTTACTTCCTCTACTCCTGGCCAAAGCCAAGACATTTTATTAATAATTCTATGATTACCATTAAGGCGACTTTTCACCTGAGATACATGATGTTCTTGAGCTTTCAAAGTCGGATGGTGCCAAAATTGTGTCCATTGGTAGCTAGGAAGCCGAGGCCCGGGATGATGTGAGATGCGGAGGTCACCCAGGGCTTTGGGGCAGAGCTGAATATCTGAGCCTTTAGCTGCTGGTCTGAAGCGCACACCCCGCCACTCAGAGAATAAAGGGGGCTGGGAAAGGAGCAGTCCAGCCTGGCCTGCACTATCCTCAGATCCAACAAAAAAGACTGACTTCCCCAGAGACTGGGCTCTGTCCTCTGAGGCCACATGTCTCTGCCTGGCCTCTGCCGCCACAAATGAAGAGCACAGGCTCCAAGTCCAGGAGCCTGTGTTCAGATTCGGACTCTACGGTTTGCTGGCTGTGTTACCCTGGACCAGATACTTACCCTCTCTCTGGTCCTCAGCATTCTTCTCTATAAAATGGGGATAGCCCTGGCCTGTGTAGCTCAATGGTCAGAATGTTGGCCCTGCACCAAAGGGTCTGAGGTTTGATTCCCGGTCAAGGACACATACCTGGGTTGCAGGTTGGATCCCTGGGCCCTGGTTGGTGCACCTGCAGAAGGCAACCAATCCATGTGTCTCTCTCTCACATTAACGTTTCTCTCTCTCTCCCTCTCTCCCTCTCTCCCTCTCTCCCTCTCTCCCTCTCTCCCTCCCTCCCTCCTTCCCTTCCACTCTAAGAAAGTCAATGGAAAAATATCCTCAGGTGAAGATTGACAAAAAAATAACAACAGTAAGTAAAATAAAATATAAAGTAAAATAAAATAATATAATAAGATGTGCAGGGCAAACTGGTTATCCACAAGGGGAATGATGAATTTAGATACCTACCTAATATTACATGCAAAAAAACAACTGAAAGTAGATTAAAAACTGAAATGTAAAATGCACAATTTAAAAATTTTTAGGAAAACGTGGAAAATATTTAAACTTTGGAAAGTAATTCAAATACTTTTATTTNTGGCACCCTGTCTCTTATACACATCTAGATGTGTATAAGAGACAGCTCCCTCCCTCCCTTCCACTCTCTCTGAAAAGCAATGGGAAAAATATCCTCCAGTGAGGATTAAAAATAATAATAATAATTAATAAATAATAAAAATAAAATGAGGATAATAACCACCCCATAGAGTTGTTGTAAGATTGGATGGGATAATGCACACAAAGCTCCTGGTGCAGTACCAAGCACATAGTAGGAGCTCAATTATCAGGAGGCATAGTTTTCAAAGATCTAACTCGGATTCTAGGGCTGGCCAGTGTTGATGCTATAGCCAATCTCACATCTGCCTGCTGACTACAGAATCCCAGCATCCAGCTCCTCTTTTTTGTAGCCAGGGAAACTGATCATAGCCAGGGGAAGGGATCATCCAAGGTCACTCGGAGTCTCCTGATCAAGTTTTCTCCCTCAGTTTCCCCAGCACACCCAGCCATGCTATGGGCCCTCCCCCGGGGAAGGCCTAGTAGGAGGGCTCAGAAGTCCTGTGCTTGCTCCCAGGCCTCCTTAGGTGTGGGGTGGGAACCATAGCAGGTGGTGAAATGAGACCTGCTGGGAAGCCCCTTCTCTGTCCTCACCTGAGCTGTTCCCATGCTCCACTAGGCCACAAGCCCACTGCCCCGGGGAGTCAGAGCAAGCCAGGGCAGACTCTGGGGGAGTGGGGCAGGCGGAGGGCCCTGGGGTGCTGGGACAGGCTACACCCTCCCCTCCAACACCAGATCCAGAGTCCCTGATAAAGACCCACACAGGGTGAGGAGATGTAAGGGATGCATTATCAGTCAAAGGGGTCAGGGTGAGGATTCAGGAGCCCAGCTACCCAAAGAAGAGGGGCCTTTCTGGTGATGAAGAAAGGAGAGAAGAGCTTGTTTGAGGCCCATCTTTCACTTGCAGGGTCCTCCCTTCCTTCAGGCCCCGGGCCCAGCAAATTGCCATGCCTACACCTCCTGCGGACTCCTTAGTCCCGTCACCTGCCAACACTTGTATGGCCCTGGCGCTAGGAGAAAGAGCTTTAGGCTGCAAGTCAGGAGGCTCTCAGTTCTCAAGTCTCAGCTCTGCCATGATTCAACCCTAAACAAGTCTCTGCACCTCTCCAGGCCTCTGGTTCCCCATGTGAATGATAGAAAGATTAGATCAGATGGTGTCTGAGAACAGGTCCAGCATGGAGTGATGGAGCTCTAGCTGTGGCCAGACTCTGTTACCAGCACTGGAAATCTCAAGATGGAGGCAGCAAAGAGAGGCCAGAGAGAGATGACAGGCAGGATGCCAGTTCGGTCCTGCGGTACAGGACAGACCCACACTGTAGAG